GTCAAGCAAGGCTTCCTGTGGCCGATTGCCTCCAACTATCTAATATCATCGAATACAGGATCTATAGTTTGTGAGGTGTGGTCGTCGATCACTGAGCCAGCGGGACAGAATCTAATGGGCTATGAATTCTAACTTTTGCTAGTTTCAGATATATATGGTACTGGAGAAAATCAATATTATCGGCTAGCATTTGTCTTCAATTCGGCGGATAATAAAAAATAAATAAAATCCAAGTTTCGAATTCGTCTCGTCACAAATGATATTATATGTTCGAAATGTCACCTAGTAAATAATACTTCTTCATTGTGTGTGTGTGCAACATATGCAATAAACAAACTAATGTGGAGTTATATACTACAATAATGTCCAAATCTTAGAAATGTATATATATATATATCAATAGATTTTAGACTTTTCAATTGTGGAAAACAACCGATGTTTATAAAATAAGCCTTAGAAGTAGAAGAGTCAGACACACCTTATTCGATATATTTTCAGCCAGTAATTGAAATTTAACGAGCCTTCTCTAATTTACTCTCACGACACTTCAATAGTCACAAGCAAGTGTTGGTCTGCTGGTAAGACAAATACTTGCATAGCCTTTACAACCTCTTTCTTCCTATACCATGTGAATTACTTATATCGATAAGGGTGTCGCATTTATATTACTCATTAACATGTATTCAAGGTTACGCGTAACTTATTTTCAGTCACAGTGGGCTTGAAACTGTACCAAAGCTAGTGACATGTTAACACGGGCGACCGTAAAATAAAAACATGTTAAATCAGGTATAATACATAACTGGAAGAGTGACAGTGGTCTCAACACTGTACCATCAGTGACACGAGAGTATCGTGATTCTATACTAAAGTGAACTGTTAACAAAATAACTTTTTGTGTGGTTGAAAGGTGGAATCCATGAATCACGTTTCGTTTTGTTTGATACTCGTCAGTCAACTGTTTCTGCACCACCTGTGAGTAATGATTTTCTCACCTAGACTCAAATCCTGCACGCATCGTGTCCCATCAAGCCATTCCTGACATAAGGATGTACATACCATTAGCGGGAGCCACCGTCAACCTAATAATATCAAAGCATGCGTACTAGGAGCCGCCAGTATGTCAAAAGAGACCTAGCATTCCCGTCGAATGCAATCAGTCTACGGAAAGTGCAGGCATAAATAACTCAAATAAAATCCTTTCTCATCTCCCTTTTGTTAGCATGAAAATGATAAAAACCATGGTACACAACACAGGAGTCAGACAAGGGTGCTTATTATCACCAATGATATTCTTAATTGTGATGGACTGACTGAATTATGCGGAACACCACACATGGATGGGGGGCGAGAAGACAGGAATACTGCGGACCACCGATAAGATGACTATACAAGGTATGGATTTCGCGTGTGGATGATTTATGTCTAATGTCATACAAAATCGAAGACTTACAAGCGAAAACCGACAAACTGGTCGAAGAAGCAGCAAAGACAGGACACCCCAGGTGAACATAGACAAGACGGAGGTTATGAAAATAACCAACCAACAAAAACAACAACAGCGGCAACATCCAACGCCAATCACCATCAACGGGAGGGATTTGAAAAAGGTTACTTCATTCACTTATCTAGGGAGCATTGTCTCAACTACAGACAGCTGGAACGGACGAGGATGTCAAATCGAGAATCGGGAAGGCGAGAAACACATTCATCGACCTGAAACCAATCTGGAAATCTTCGTCACTCCTCAGCATCAACAACAAAATTCAGGTTTTCAATACAAACGTCAAGTCAGTCAGTTCTTCTATACGTACGGATCAGAAACTTGGTGGGTCACAAAGAATATTTCCAACAGCCTGTTGCAGACCTTTATCAACAACTAACTGTCTTCGTTCTATACTGAAGATCAGATGGCCGGAAAGAATCACCAACAAGAAACTATGGGAAGAAACAAAACAAGAACCAATCGCTCAACAAATATGCAGGAGAAAATGGAGATGGATTGGACACTCGCTGAGGAGGCCGCCAAGTGACATCGCGCGTCAGGCCAACGTTCGAGTGGAACCCGAAAGGGAAGCGGCGAGTGGGACGTCAGTGCAAGGGTGACATGGAGGAGATCGTGTGAAGAGGAGCCGAAACAGTATGGATTAACATGGATGCAGATGAAAAGTACAGCAGAAGACAGAAGCAAGTGGAGACGTGTAGTTGAAGCCCTATGTTCCACTAGGAACCCAAGGGCTCGGCAATAATAATAATAATGCCATAGTACACAGATTCTCGATTTTTTAAAATTTTATCGTGATACTTTTCACAAAATGTTTTTGCCTGAGATTAATTTTGAATACTAAATAATATTTGCTCTAATTGGGCATGCAAGCACGGTTAGTATTACAGGTCGCTACAAATAACTCTCGTATGTCTATCCCCTACCCTACAATACGGTTTTCACAAAGACCTTTCTTACATATAAGAAAAGATATCAAACCCTGGTAGATACATTCTCGCTTTGTAATTGGTTGTTGAAGTATTTTATTTTTAAGAAATAAATGATATATGAACAACATAGATATATATGTATATTTATATTCATGTTTTCCCTAAATTGATGTCTTAAAATTGATGCGTTTTCCTCATGTGTATTCTCAAAGAAAGCAAATAAACAACAACATTTAAGTACTCTCTTACATTTATCCTTCCTTTTAGGCAATATAATTCAATTTTAATTGAGGGAAACTTAGTGATATAAATAAAAATTTGATTACAAATACTCTATGACATTTAATTTTTCTTTTCTTTAAAATACTATACGTTTGAAAACTTGTGGAAATAAATGGAGTGTTTGACAAAATGTTCAGTTAGTAACTGATTTGCCTCATAACCTAGAATTATAAAAATATTAAGAAATATTACTTCATTAGATTCCTATTGACAAGTGGAACTTATAAACTCTTTTTCAGCTTTCATGATGCTCAATGGTTGGATACCGCTTAGAGTAACCAGTATGTGCTGCCTGCTTGCCGGATCAAAGTGGTCTAAATCGATTCAACCGCCCGAAGTGAATGGTTACAGGGTTTCATCATGAGCTGACTTTGGTTAGAGAACTATTGGAAAACCTGAGAGTACTGGACAGCTGTTTCGTCCGACTAGTTTGGGACTCTTCATCAGCACGCACCCACCAGGGTTCAAACCCAATCAAATTGGGCATACGACTAGATGAGTTTCAGCATAAACAAGTGAAACAGCTGTCCTATAAATATATATATATATATATTTGTGTATAGCTTGACTCCACACTGTATTTTTGGTACAAGTATGGATTATGCAGCATGTGATACCGGTAGCCCAGATTTTACAGCCCGTCTATTAATAGCAGGTGTGTGTCGGCAGGAGATCGAACCCCAGACCATGTGCTTGGTCGGCTAGCGTCCTAACCGCTGTGCCACTGACGCACATATATATCTGTCTAACAAACATTATTGGTTGATGTGGATGGTAGCCGACTACTCATTTCAGTCAATCAACAGTGTATAGCATCATAAAATTTTATTTGCTTTCTTGATGGTCATATGAATATGAGAAGACGTTCAGCGAAGAGACTCTTTTCGCCAGCGAATTCATTCACATAGCTGTACAATCGCATTTATATACAATTATTTGTGTCTGTGTGTGTGTACATGAGTTTTGTCAAGTTTAGATAATTGATCAGGTAATACAAGAATGATCTAATATAGAAACAAGGTTAATTAGACAGCAACTAAAGTAAGATTGAGTTAGTAAGTCAGATGATATAATATAATTGACAAAAATGTTTCAACGTAGGTCAGGGTAGCAACAGAGGTAATTACAGGTAGAGACTGAGTAGAAGTGGGGTAGAGAATAATGCTATTTAAATTAGAAGTGAAAATGAGCAAATAAGTTAGATGACGTAACATAAATGACTAGAAATTGAGCGTTGGTCAAGTCAGTAACAGTGGTAGTGAGATGTAGAAATTAAATCGGGTGAAGGTAAAGAACAAGAAGGTTGAAAATGTAAGATATTACAGTTGAAAAGACAAAATAATACTAATGTAGACACAGTAAAAAAGATTAGGTAGAATTTAATTGTTGGGTAATATGATAGATTACGTCCATTGCAAGTGTAGTGATTGAACGAACATCTTCTGTATGCAGAGTTCAGGACTTAGCAAGTGAATCGCCATTGCTTCTGCACTTTGAAGAAGTCTGATTCGTACACCTTTAGGAAGACTACTTCGTATTCTGTGAACGACTTTGAAGTTTGTTTGGGGTGTAGCTTGATGTCCGGAATCTATCAGATGTTCTAAGGTGGAGCTGCGGGGTAAGTGTTCGGTGATACGTTTGGAAAGCGAACGCTGGGTACGGCCGATATACCTGGTCATCTATGGTATCGAGGAGATCGTACAATTTTTCTTCTTCCCTTATGCTCCGAGTAGAGTTACAGCTGTAACTCTTGCAGTTTTAACTTTTCGCAGCTCTTGTATTGCTTTGATTTTTTTTTGGTTATAGCTTGAAACCACACAGTATTTTTCGTACAAGTATGGAATTTTCAGCATGTGATATCGGTAGCCCAAATTTTGCAGGCCGATCATAGATATCGAGTGTGCGTCGGCAGGGGATCGAACCTCGGACCATGTGCATGGTCGGCGAGCGTCCTAACCGCTGTGCCACCGACGGTGAGATTGTTAGCCTCACACCCAAAATTTCATTTTCTCTGAGCTTACTGTTGACTAGTGAATTAACGCGAGGTATACGCGGGGAGGGGAGGAATCGACTCCTGACTACCTGTGTCGTTGGAGAGCATACATACATATTGTGATCTGAATAATTTAAGTTTGCATAGGAAGCTGTAGTGAAATTTCCACCTTGAAATGTGTAAACTTCAAACTGCTAATTCGCCTTTTCCACATTGTTGTTTTATTCTGCATCTCTAATTTAATCATTTGTCTTTTCTTTCTGAACCCTTACAGTTGGTTTACATTAATATGAACAGGGAGCAGTTTTCTCCATCCGAAGAACGCTGGTCAGACTATTCAAGAGCTGAATTTTTAGCTAGACCATATAACAGTCAATCTGAAGAACCAGATTCAAGATATCTTTCATATGAACAACATGATGAAAGTGATATACGACGGCAATCTTATACACAACTGCCAGCTGTAACAACTGTTGTCAGAGGAGATAGACAATCAATTGTTCTCAATCATAGTCCTTTATCAAATACAGGTCTTCAAACACGTGCAAGTGTCACTTCCACTGCTGCTGCTGCTGGTACTGTTACCGGTCTAACTGGTATAGCTGGTATCGCTGCTGCAGCTGCAAGTCAACAAGGCAAACCGCTTAATTTAGCTGCACTTACATTGGCTGCTCAATCGGTTGCAGCGAAAAAACGTGCTGGAGCCAGGGCGCAAGCTGCTAATACAAGACCAGAGCGTACATTATTCTGTTTGACACTGAGAAATCCTTTAAGAAAACTTTGTATAAAAATTGGCGAATGGAAGTATCCTTTTTTAATGGATTAATATGAGCAAAGATTACAACTATTTCACTGTTTTTTTAAAATAATGACTAATGACTCAACGTATATTGTTCATAATTGATAACGAAACTTAGTTTCTTTATAAGAGGTGCTGAACTGAGGATTGTAATAAGTGAGTATCGTGATAGCATCTGAACTACAGGCCTACGAATTATACTAGTCTGGCATTCAACATGGTGAGCCACGAAGCCCACCTCATTAATGATCAGGTAATCATTTTACCTCAATCACCACGGGTAACGGTAAGCTGTTACATGAATGAATTATACATCTCTATGCGTTTTGCAAGCAACATGCTTCTCTCCTTCAAAATCAGTATGATTAAGATTATTTCTATAGTTGGTTTGTAAGGGCTAGTTTTGTTTCTTACGAGTTGATCACGGATTGATATCAGTTGGAGAACCATTGAAAACCAACACTGGAGTACTGGACAGCTGCTGTTTCATCCGACTAGTTTGGGAATCATCGGCAGTACGCACTCACTGCCAGGGTCCGAACCCAGGACCTTCTGGTTAGAAGGCAAGCTGGCTCGCATACCATCCAGCCATTGAAACCCGATCCAATGGCTCACGAGCTTGCCTTGTAACCAGAAGGTTCTGGGTTCGGACCCTGGCAGTGGGTGTGTACTCCTGATGATTCCCAAACTAGGATGAAACAGCAGCTGTCCAGTACTCCAGTGCTGGTTTTCACTGGTTCTCTAACTGATTAAGATTGCCAGGAGGGGGCATGGTTGGGCTACTAGTTTGATTATAAACAGAAAGAAAGTAATCTTATCACCTGTGACACATTTATTCATAAAATATTTAGACATGTAGTTAGTTCAATACGATAACTGCACGCATTGGATCAGTTCGACTATAAAAAAAGCATTTATTATCATTTGGCTTATAACCTTAATTTAACATTTATAGACCATTTGAATATCTTATTCTGCTTACAATTATGGCCAATTGTTGTGCACTTGGCGCAATAACTCCATATCCTGATGGTGATTCAAATACTCTTAATCATATTTTGGTAAGTGTATGCAATTTTATATGTGTGTTTTCTAAATATTTATTTTTACTAAGTCTTGGCTAATAAAGTTACTAGTATCGTGAGTATAGTCCTTTGGCTGATTTTTTTTATTTCCTTCACGTTCCCCGGTGGAACATAGGGCTTCAAGCTGGTGGCTTTCCTCTTCACCAGCGTTATCTCTGGGTTAGCGAGGTAAAGGAGTGTGTCTGTGGCCGGGGATCGAACCCCGTACCATGTGCATGGTCGGTGAGCGTCCTAACCACTATGCCACCGACGCCCTTTGGCTGATGCCGAGAATAAACTCTATCCGTCGAAGTTTCAGTGTAACCAGCTTGCTAGATGGCTCATCATCAAGGCGTACTCTGAATTGTAGGAAACCTTAGACGTAGGTTTCCTTCCAGCTTGTTGTCGATCGTCTGCAATGGGTATCTGCAAACTTGAAGGAACTCATGTGCCCTCTGTGATTTGAACTTGTGTCACGCAGTACTGCAGTCAGAGAGACTCGCGATTCACCCCATGTAGGAATGTTTTAGATACTTTGACTGGACACTAGGGTAGTAGGTAACTAGTGCCATGAGTCTAAGCCGTTGTTTGATGCAGACTGAATTCTGTCGTCAGTCAAGTTTAGAATGTGACCATCATTCTAGGTGGCTCAACATCACGATGTAGTCTGAATTGTAGAATAAACTTTTTTTTTGTATGCAAAGGCACTAGGATTGTTCTCTCGAATTAATTCCCATAGCTTCGGCAATGTGTAAAAGGCCGGTTCGAATTCCATTAGAAAGGTTCAATGGAATACAATAGATAACTTTGAAGGCACGATTTCTGTTCACTTGGTGACCGCTATCATCAATCAATTGAGACAAAACGGAACTTCTTGTAGGTTTTATATGGCCTTTTCCAAACCGTAAATGAAGATGCTCATTAAATAAGTTTGTTGAGCTGCTTGTTTTTTTCGCCCTATAAAGCTTTCCCCATAGGAGCAGTTAAATTTGTAGATAGACGTAGAAGTGGCACAGCTAAGCAGCTTTACTGTCGTTTGAGCAATCATAATTTCGCTTGTTGCTGCTCAGTAGCAATGTATAAGAACCATCTAAAGGTCCATTTGATTTTACCACTGAGCTAGCTATTCAGAGAGTTGTAAGCTGACTGACTTATTCCTTACTTGACGCAGAGATGAGTTACTGACCAGCCTGATCGGCTAGAAGTTTAAGAATGACAAGTCTTTCTCCTATCCAGCTGCCAGCTTCTTTTATGATGTCGGCTAGCTTACGAAGCATGATTCACATTCATTTGATTGTTTTAGTCAATATCTAGAGCTAGACAGCCATAATGGTTGTAATCAGACAGTTGTTTTTTATATAGAGCTTCTTATTTGTAATTCATATGTGTCACTTATTCAGTAATAGAATGCTCTCTAAAATTTGGCCTAGAAGTTAAGCGCACACTGCTAATGAGATACTTTTCAAAAGGAATACAGTGACTGTCAGTTGTTTATACCACTCTAACTTGAATAGTGGTTAGTCCTTTACATAGTTCGGAGACTTGACGTGTCTAGAAGGCATTTAAAACAGGCTGCCGCAGGCTTTTATCAACAGCTGCCTTCGCTGGCTCCATACTGAAGGTCAGACGGTCAGAAAGGACTAGCAACAACGGACTGTGATAAAGAACTAATCAAGAGCCTATTGTCCAACAAATATATGTCAAAGTAAGTGAAGATGGAATGAGCGACATAGCGCGCTAGGCTCTCGAGTAGAACCCAAATGGAAAACTAAGAAATAGGCGTACGAGTGTGACACAATAAAGATCGTGTGAAGAGGAGACGACAGCTTACTGGTCACCGAGGAGCCAGCTAACTAAGACTGCAGGGAAATGGATGAAATAAGGGTGTTCTTTTCAAGCCTTCAGTTCCACTTGGAACCTTGAGGGAATAATAATAATACATTTTAATGACTTGAATAATGATTGTTCATCAGTTCTGTGGAGTTGCGGCTGATTTCGGCCAATAGACCTCTGGTATGAGTCCTGTTTCACTTAGTTCAGCCTGGACAACTAGGTATTTTCGTCAGCCGTCACGAAAGAAGTGTGCTTCACTCCATAAGATGTCTATTTAAAGTAATGGAGTTATAACTTTCGAATATGACTGTTCTACTACCGTTTCTTTACAAGTAGTGTTTTTCACAACTACTTTTCATAACTGGTGGAGACTAAATGTCAGTCTTTATGTTAACAATGTTAATGGCAGCCGTCTCAGAGCTTTAGACAGCCATCATCCACGCTTCAAAAGTTTCTGAAATATAGGCATACTTAGTGGTGTACAGCAGTTGCCATATTCCGTGACATGGCTAAAGGTCGTTCACAATGCCCCAGATGTACTAACTAACAAAGCCTTATTACAATATACAAAAATAAATTCTTGAAATCCTAACTAATCTTCATCTAATCTTTTTCTGTCTCTCTCTCCCTATCACACGTTCATCTCCTTTCAAATATGGTTTCATTTTGTCCTATTTTTTTACTTATTCAAAAGCATATGTTTCTCTTAATTTTGACAATTTGAACTGATAAACTTTTGCACTTAATTCTGCATTGATAAATCCATCAATCAGAGAATATAATTGTATATATTTGTAGATTACAATCTATTCATCTTCGAGGGTTGGTTTGCAGGGATTCCATTTGATTGGTTTCTAGGATTTCATCATGAGATGACATTGGTCGGAGGACGACAGGGAAAACAGCTGGGAGTACTGGAAGGCTATTTCATCTCAGTTTGGAACTAATTATCAGTATGCACCCACCGGGACTCGAGTCCAACAGCTTCAGGTTTCAACGCGAGATCGTAGACCAACCACTAAACCACTGAAACCCGATCCCATGGCTACATCCATGGCTCTAGATTCCAGAGTTCTGGCTAGTGATGCTTGTTGTTCGATTTGGCAGAGGGTCCTGACGTTGAATGCTCCAATATGAAGTTGGCAGCATGCCTTTTATAAGTTGTCGGGAGTGTTTCTATGTCTCTCGTCGTTGTTTATGATCACAGAATAAAATGAAAATGACTGACCAACCTGGAGTATATTATTGACACTATTAGGGAAGTAAGGCGATGAGGGTGATGTGGGTCAAGGAGAATGATGCTCAGGAGGGCTTCGTGTGCTTTTAGAAGTGTGTGGGCTGTCGTTACTTCCCGGTTGCCCAAACCGTGAAAGTTGATTTATTCTTCGGGTACCTGAAACAGAAAGAGGATTAGTGTTACGTGACCGCAGAGCCCAGAAGAAAACTGCTTGAGGCCAGTCACACACGGTCTGTATGAACTAGTTTCTGGGATTGGTTACGGACCACCGTAGGCTAAGTTGAGATTTACAATCTTTGTGATCGAAGTTTTCTAACCCCCTCCTTCCAGAGTAGAGACACAGCATAACTGGAATGCTGATCATCTGAAGGAAACACCTTACTGCTATTACATCCCTGTTCTCCAACAGTACAACTTCACCCACAGACCCCCAGCATAGTGTAAAAACAAAACTGTTACACTATGCCAGTAACATTAGGATTTAGTGGATCTGTATGATTACGAAGAGTGAGTTCATCTGCTTCAATATCACCAGTGATCACCAATCACACTAGCTATTAGCGTCATGAGGGGATCCCAACAAATACTTAACAAGCCAATGGAGGAACTCTTACTAATGACTTACAACATACAACACATAAGTCAGATCAGATGTCATTAACAGCAGAAGAAAACATTATCACTCTTTATGTGAGTAAACAATCCTAAAATCAATTAACAAATAAAATATTTCAGTAGTGTATAATATTTATTATCAGTTTGAGTTGTTTTTGTTGTTGTTAATTTGTAAATCAAACACTGTTCAGGAGCTTTATGTATGTATGTATGTTTGTATCTGACTGTTATACATATTGAAGAGCCCTTTGAATCAGTAATTGTTTCCTGAACATCAATTATATTGACGCAAATAAATAAAAACAGATCTAAACAACATTTTGTGTAGTTATAAAACGATATTAAAAACAAGCAGGAGAAGATGAGAATATTCACATGAGAAAAAAACCTAGTTCATTCAGCGTGTAACATGGGAAAGAACAACAACAACAGACAACGATCAGCATAAATGGGAGGAACCTGAAAGAAACAACCTCCTTTACCTACCTGCCTAGGAAGCATCGTTTTAACTACAGGCAGACGGAACTGACGAGGATATCAAAGTAGCGACGATCGGGAAAGCAAAATCAGCTTTCACTACTCTCAAGTCAGTGTGGAGGTCAACAGCACTCAGCATCAAAAGTAACATCCGGATTTTCAACTCCAATATGAAGTCAGTGCTACTATACGGATCAGTGACTTGCACTGCGCGTCATAAAGAGCATCTCAAACAAACTACAGACCTTCATTAACAGTTGTCTTCGCTCAATACTTCGCTCAAGATCAGATGGCCGGCCAGAAAAGATCATCAACAGAGAGGGATCTCTGGCAATGAGCGAACCGACCAGGAACCGATTGTGAAACAAATGGGCAGGAAGAAATGGAGGTGGATTGGATTGGCCATACTCTAAGGAAACAATGCATCAAGTGACATCACTAGACAAGCCATTGCTCGAGTGGAACCCGAAAGGGAAGCGGCGGCGAGTTGGTCGTCAGTGCAAGGGTGACTTGGAGGAGGTCATGTGAAGAAGAGATGAAAACGTGTGGGCAGACTTGGAGCCAGATAAAGACTCTAGCAGAGAACCGAACGCAATGGAGACGCACGGCTGAAGCCCTATGTTCCTCTAGGAATTAAAGGAAACAATAATAATAATGAATATATAGGCATTCACTTCTAGTTAACAAATATGTATGACTTACTATAGAATTACTACACTGACTACACTACTACACTACTAGCAGTGTAACGGTAGATGACAAGAGAAATAATAGAGAAGATTTGTAGCTCAGGTGAATGATTTGCAATTAGTAGTGTTTCGTCTGAGCTGGTTGGTTTAGTTGCGGAGCTTTCGTCATCCACCTTCTGGACAACATCTTCAGCGAAACTTAAACCAACCAGCTCAGACGAAACACTACTAATTGCAGATGACAAGAGATTTGATGAAAGGAATGTTTACTTGGAATTTGATATCTCTGTATAGCGAAATTGTGTACACCTTATCTCCAAGTCGTCATGTGCACAGATCTTCTTCCGTGTTGTGGTGTTGCGCTACTTCTGCCTTTCCTTCGTATTGTGTTACTTTGTCTTCTCCTCGTGTTTCCCATGTTTCGGGGCAACACTGAATCATTTGCTCTCTTTGATGTTAAAACTATCTCTATATGTCACTGATAAGTCTTGTCAGTAGCATATTCCACAGCAGTGGAATCCAGGATATGTGTTTCGTCCTATTTGGGACTCATCTACTGAGTGTAAGAGATAGTGTTTTCACTGAAACTTGAATCCTGTATTTATCGCTTTAAACGCCACTGGGTTATGCTCTAAGTCAAATGGTCATGACAGTCTACTCTTGTGTATTAGGTATCAATTCTTATTTGTGTTTTTGGGTTGATTTGTATTCCCCGTCGGTTGGGTATTTTGAACCTAATTACCCAGTCTGTGTGAATGTGTTGGTCCTTAGTAAGGATGCTAATTACTGTCAACTAAAATAACAAAGCATGGAATGGCAATTAAACCTCTACCTCAACTTTATAGACTTTGAGAAGGCCTTCGACAGCGTTGACCGCGAAGTAATTTGGAAACCACTCGAGTAGTACGGCGTACGTACCGCAAATATTCATCAACCTTATTCAACAGCTGTACGACAACGGCACATGTCAAGTGACCCACAACGGAAAACTCAGCGAGGCGTTTGGAGTAAACACAGGAGTCAGACAAGGGTGCTTATTATCACCAATGATATTCCTAATTGTGGTGGACTGACTGGATTATGCGTCAGACAGTGGGAAACGAGAAGACTGGGATATCCTGGACGGACGTGAAAAACCTAGAAGACCTGGCTTTCGCGCGTGGACGATTTATGTTTGATGTCACACAAAACCGAAGACTTACAAGCGAAAACCGATAAACTGGTCGAAGAAGCAGCCAGAGAAGACAGGACTCCAGGTGAACATAGACAAGACGAAGGTTATGAAAATAACCAACCAACAACAACAGCAGCAGCAGTAACATCCAGAGCCAATCACCATCAACGGGAGGGATTAGAAAGAGGTTACTTCATACACTTATCTAGGTAGGGAGTATTGTCTCAACTACAGGAGGAACGGACGAGGATATCAAATCGAGAATCGGGAAGGCGAGAAACACATTCATCAACCTGAACCCAATCTGGAAATCTTCGTCATTCAGCCTACATCAACAACAAAATTCGGAATTTCATTACAAACGTCAAGTCAGTCAGTTCTTCTATACGGATGGATCAGAAACTTGGCCAGTGTGTCACAAAGAATATTTCCAACAGCCTGTTGCAGACCTTTATCAACAACTGTCTTCACTCTATACTGAAGATCAGATGGCCGGGAAGAATCACCAACAAGAAACTATGGGAACAAACAAAACAAGAACCAATCGCCCAACAAATATGCAGGATAAAGTGGAGATGGATTGGACAATCGCTGAGGAGGCCGTTGGGTGACATCAAGTCTCAGGCCAGTGCTCGATTGGAACCCGAAAAGGAAGCGGCGAGTGGGACGTCCAGGGGTGACACGGAGGAGATCATGTGAAGAGGAGTTGAAACAGTATGGACTAATATGGATGCAAGTGAAAAGTACAGAAGAAGACAGAAGCAGGTGCAGACGTGCATTTGAAGCCCTATGTTCCACTAGGAACCCAAGGGAACAATAATAATAAAATAAAATCCTGTCAATACTCAGATATCGTCAAAGCGTCCGTACTTGAGGCTGACACATCAAAAGAGACTGAGCATTCTACTGTAACATAATCGATCAGTGGGAAATGTAAATTTACCCAGACAAGATTCTAAACTCTGTTTGAAGTAATAGTGTTTTTTTTTGTTATTCATCGCCAGAAAATAAAGTTAATACACAATATTCACTGACTAACTATCTTTTTACGCCTGAAAAATTCAAGTGTATAATTAAATTTGTTTGAACAGAGCAAGAAGAACAAACCGAGTGGGATGAAATGACGTCATTATTATTATTATCAGCTGCTTACAACCATGAACAGTTTAACATCGACACAAGTAATATACAGATACTGATAAAGGTGGTGAATGTTACTACTGTCACATGATTGAGAAGCATAATGCAAAGAAATAGAAGTCGTTAGTTGTTAAGCTTGTTAGTAGTAGGGGCATATCAATAATCAGAAAATGTTCTAGAATATTATGAACGAATGTTACAAAGTGAATAGAGGCTTAAAATAAATAAAAAACATTTATGTGAGAGTCGAATAGCAATGTAGTTAAGCGGAGCTCAAAAAAGGGGTCTCATCAAGGATATATAAAGACAAAATTAGGGTGGGAAATTATATTGTGAAAGGAAAATATCATTAAAATGATAAAATTAACAAGACCAAGTCAGGTAAGAGGACACTAACGCGCCAGCGACACAGGTTGGCGAAGTGGCAGAGGCTGGAATTCATGGATCATTAAGTCGGGTCCCACTGGCTAAGTGATCTACGAGCTCGCCTCGTAACCAGAAGGTCCTAGGTTCGATCCCCGCCGGATGCATACTGATGAAGAGTCCCGAACCGGGCCGAAACAAATGTCCAGTACTCCCTGGTGGTTTCCCAATGGTTCTCTGACCGATGTCAGTTCGTGATCAATCCTGTAACTAGCCAATCAAATCGAATCCCTGCAAACCAACACTTGATAAAGTATAATTATCAAAGTAAAGCAAGATTAACAACGGTTTCCTTTCGGGGCCAAGTTAAACTTTAAGCACCAGTAACTACCAATGGAGTGCGACCGCACCAATGACCTTGAAACACCCACTGAGCAAGTTAGTGAAACCCGGCAAGTAAATTTGTCATCATCAATAAAATATGCTCATCAAAGTGTTATGCTATTAAATGGGATATCTAGTAAGTTTCAGCTTAGGTTTGCGAAGGATTAAGTTACGCTATAAGCCAAGGACAAGTTAGGGTTAGGTTAACCTAACAAAGGCGAGTTAGACAACAGTTAGTTTAGGGATAATTTCACGTTAGGGTTAAGTTCAAGAAGGATTAGGGTTATTGTTAGGGATAGAAGACCTAAATAATTACATGCACAGAATGTGGTTAAATTACTCTGTTGATATAAGAATAGAACTTGTGCACTGTGGCGGTTGAGTTTAATTCCATTGTGGATAAAGTTTACTTTGATAAAGTATCCCAGTGTTATGAGGTACTATTGACTGATGACGTTTCGAACACAATTTATTGCCCAGTAAATATTACTGTATTACACTATGAGACTTTATCTAAATAAATTTTACCCACAATGGAATTATACTCTGTTGATACTCCAACCTAAAACTGGGGGCTGTTTTTTATCACATGTGAGACCAAGGTATCCTCTGTAACACCTTTATACAGTTTTTATGCATTATATCATAAATATAAGTATTCCATGCACAAAAATGCCTCCTTCCTCTTATTGTTGCGTTCGAGGTCATTCGCTGATTAGTAGTTAGTAGTGCTTTAAGTTTAACTTTGCCACTTTCGGATGCTTAGATATGTTTTTAATCGCGTAATGGCATTCGCTTCAGTGATACGCAGCAACTTGATGCTGTCTTGGACTTTAATTATGTTAAAGGATCCTAATGCATCGATTTTATGACGCCTGTCTTACCGGTGGCTAGCAGTAGCACTACTAATGAATTTCGCACTTTTCAGACACAAAAACTTGTTTCCAATATACTCGGATATCCTGTTCAATATGTCCTTCTTGCTTTGTTCAAGTCTATCATGAAGAATAATGCTATGAAATTAAATTAAAATTTTTGCTTTTACTTTTCACTAGTCTAGTTTTTTTTATTTACCTTCTTTCTTTTTTGTCTTTTCTTTCTTATCTCTAGGAAAAAATTGAAAATGTTTTTATTGTCATATTTACTGTGGAATGTGTATTGAAGATTGTTGCATTCGGTTTTGTTATGCACTCAGGAGCATATTTACGTAATGCATGGAATATACTCGATTTTACTATCGTTATCTTAGGGTAAGTATTCACCGAAATAAAAAAATTACTTCAGTGCAATTCATGATATGACCGAGATGAGTGAAATAGTTGCAGCCAATTCCGAGGTGTTGGATTTTTTCCTTACGTGTTTGATGCGCGAGCTGGCGTCAGTCACAGAACCATTGGAAAACCGGGGAGAACTGAACAGGTGTTTCACCCCAGTTTAGGACTCTTCAATGGTGCGCATGCACGACCTTTCCAGAGTCTTTTAGGTTAACAGACGAAGTTCGTTGATCATTCAGTCACCTGGGCTGCAATTTCGTGACCCATGGATTTTATCTCTGTCAACTCACCAATGCCTTCGATGAGCACTCAACTGGCTACGAATTCCCAGTGCAATTTCAGGAAGTTCATTCAGTAGCCATCAGAGACTGATAGTGACTGATAGGCTGAAACAGCTGTCTACTGCTCCGTGGTTTTCAATGATCTCTTTTAAACTGATGTTGGTTTGTGACAAAAATCTAACAACTGTAATTAATTATCCAGTATTAGTCTGCAGGGATCTGATTGGTTATGGGTGCGATCATCACTTGACATCAGTCAGAGTATCGCTGAGAAACCATGGAGTCGTGGAATACTGTTTGCTTAGTTCAGGCAAGTGAATAATATTCTCACTCAATGTAGCTAGCCATCATCCAGGTGGCACTCGGATCTGAGTGAAAATAGGCACACTGTTGATAAGCCCTGCCAAAAAGAAAACAAGTGAAACGACTACCTGGTGTTTAGAGCACTTTTGATCTGGCTTGCTAGTAAGCACTCCTGGTTGGTGTGATTAGTTTACAAGTGCTCGCTCACATCAGTCGATGCCAACATGGCATACAGAGTATAGAGTACGCCTGGCTCATTTTTTTCATGTTTTGTGTGGAAGGATTAAGATATAAAGGAAAACCCTAGAGGGGAAGATAAATGACTAGAACTGATTTCTAATCAGTAGGTACAAAGCTCCTGTCAAATGCTCAGATCAAAAAAAATCCTGAACCTAGCTCTGATTCCAGAAGACTAATGGGTGCCTCAGTATACCGTGTGCTGTAATCGATGCAGAAAATATCAGTAGACGGATTGCCGGTACGATGAGTGTTCACATCTTCACTGACAATGAAGCAGAACAACAAGATTACAAGGCACAAAGTCAATGAATAAACGTTAATATAAAGCACAATAATACTTATGATATTTTCAAGTATCGGTTTTGTAGGGATTTTGTTTGATTGCATGGAGGATTTTATCATGAGCTGACATCAGTTAGAGAACCATTGGGAAACCAGTGGGGGAGTAATGGACAGCTGTTTCGTCCTAGTTTGGGACAAGCGAACCAAGGAGCTTCTGGTTATAAGGCTCATCATGAAATCCTCCATGCAATCAAACAAAATCCCTGCAAAACCAGTACTTGAAAATTAGTCTGATGCTCACTAGCGACTGGCCCTATTCAGTCAGTTAACCTGGGGTTCTAGTGAAAAGCTGTGACCAGTAGGGTACAGCAGGTTGAAGATGAGGCAGTAACTCATCTAAGAAGACATTGCGAAATGATCGCGATATGTCGTGAATTGGCAGAAGTTAGAATTCAAGGACCATTGGATCGAGTCCTAGTGGCTCAACGGTCTACGAGCTCGCCTTGTAACCAGAAGGTCCTGGGTTTGAACCCTGGTGGTGGGTGCGTACTGATGAGGAGTCCCAAACTAGGACGAAACAGCTGTGCAATACTTATGCTAGTTTTTTCCAGTCTTCTGCCAACGAAGGTACTATAAAGCAACGGCCGCGAATAAACCATACTCAACTGGTCATAAAGGAATAATAAGATTAGTAGTAAGAATATAAATAAGATGTTACTGAGTTAACAGACTGTTACCGATGTGTAATGAGTAACGACTGAAGATTAAATCCAAAACGCCGTCCGCATTAGATTTCCGGTTTACAAGTCCTGTGATATAACAGCTGACCTACTGAACCCTCAGCTATCAGAGAGCAGCGAACTATTAATATGGAGGCTACTAGTTGTACTTCTGCGGCGTCAACGGTTTTCATTTTATCTTCAATCACCTCCTATTGTATTTTTTTATCCTTCATGTCCCCCAGTGGAACATAGGGCTTCAAGCTAGTGGCTTGAAGTTTCTGTAGCAGTGTTTATTTTACAGGATGGGGTCGCTAGCCTCAACGCCATTCTGGACTCCCCTCCTAGCCAGCATCCACCAAGCATCACTGTGCTAATCCTCAGATGTTGTCGAGCCAATATGTTGACAGAGTGTGAGCGTTATTTCAAATAACCTTATCTAATATGAAATTACATTCTACCACAATGCTGATTATATATTTTTGCATCTAACTTATACTTTTTTTTAGCCTTTTACAACCGCTCATCCAACAAATGGTTGAACAGTCTGGTGTAGATGTTAAAGCCCTTCGTGCTTTCAGAGTATTGAGACCGCTTCGTCTAGTTTCTGGTTTACCAAGTAAGTATTTTGGTGTATACGCCCGCCTTACTTTCATCTTTTATTTTGAATTCAGCCTCATATTTATATCAAAGTATGAAAAGTGTAAAAGTAACAGTCAACACGTCCATACATCTACATCACAGTTAAAGACTTCGTCGACTGATGTCATGTTTTGATTTGACCAGTATTCACCATTTTCTGACCTAATTCTATATCAGGTAATGTTGTTCGTCAAGGAACCTCATAGCTCAACATGCATACATAATACGTCACCTATTCATCTCAAAAGAACGTTTTGAAATAACTCGCACAGAACAACCTTTATACTTTGCTACACAGGAGTAAGCGAACTGACACATACACACACTGGAGTGTTCAGATGTGGGAGTTTGTCCTTCACATTGCTTAGGAACAGTTGGCGGCTAGAGAAAGGTTTTCTTTAGAGAACCATAATTTCTCCTCTATAAGATATCTTCTCCTAATTGTCTCCTGCTTTCTTTGGCACTGAAGAGCACATTCTTCTCTTTAGGACTTTGGTTTCATGTTCTTCTTCACGTAGCGTGTAGGGTATGTAATTTCAGTGAAGATATTTTTGAGAAATAAGAACTCTTCTTCTAAGGAGTCAGTGCTTCGAATTCTTTTGATACGGTGGGTCAGTCGAATGACGAGAGTTCTTTTTAGACTCACAGGCACCCAAATAACCACAGAACACCATCATTTAATGACCAAATGATAAATGTATACAGTTACAACCTTCTTAGAGATCATCTCACTCATCGTGGAGTTTTAACAACTAGTTTTCCTGATGGATTTAAACACCTGGTAGTTATCACGCCTTTGTTCATTTCGTTGGCTATCATTTCACAAACCTTTACCCGGACTACTTTTGAACAGCTTTTGCACTTCGTTCTCAGATGTCAGTTTCCTCACGTTTATGACAGATTCCAGATGAAGCTATAGAAAACCACTGGCACTGACTGACTAAAGTCTTCAGCACCGTATCCACAGTCGACTGAATATGACATTGGGCTTCTTCGAGATGTTGTATTGCTACCCGTTTCCGATATAAGATCAAAAGAAAACAAACAAAAAACTAATGACATGTTTTGGAGTATTATTACAATAATTTACTAAATGCACTTTTTCTCCATCTTCTTGTTCTGTTTCTTTTCAGGCTTACAAGTCGTATTGAATTCTATTATGCGTGCTATGGTCCCTTTGTTACACATTGCACTTCTAGTTATCTTTGTAATTATTATCTATGCAATAGTTGGTTTAGAATTATTTTCTGGTAAATTACACGCAGCATGTTATGATTATTTAACAGGTCAGTATTATTATTTTGTTTCATTGTTTTTTTCTCTCTCTCTCATGAATTAACACTTAAACTATGTCTGTATACTGTGATCTTTTCACTGTTAGACAGAAGACCAGTAGTTCAGCGAAGATTCTCTTTTCGGTGAATTCATTTTCATAGCTGTACAATCGCAAATATACATATGGTTGTTTTGTATGTGTGTGTACATCGAATTTGTCAAACGAAAATACAACTAGTAAGTTAACATGAATTCGATGTTGATATCAGAGGACAGTAAAAAAAATTGATGAGTTGTCACAAACGCTTGTTAAAGAAGAGTTACGAAATAATGTGAATAGTTTGATGAAAGATTTGTGCTCAGGGTGTACATGGAAACAAAAAAACATACGGAATTACGCAAGGGTAGTTAGAAGAATAAGCATACAAACAAGAGTTAAGTCAAATCAGGCAAACAGACAAAAGTTAAGTCGAATCAACGGAGTTGTTACCACGAGAGAAGAAGCGGTTGAATAATTTTCTTTTGTATGCATAGTTCTGGTTCTTACAACTGAATGACTAGGGCTTCTGCAATGCAAAGAAGACGGAAACGTATTGCCTTTGGAAGGTTGTTCTTCACTTTGTAGATTACTTTGAAGGAGGTGTTTGTTGAGATACAATGACCAGTGTTGACGAGATGTTCGGTTATTGCACTCCTTATACGGTCACTACTTCCTTTCTGTAACCACGCTTGATAGTGTTCTTTAACCCATTTTAACAGGATAGGCGTTGAACGACCGATGTACATGGCTCCACAACAACAGGCGAAGTGATATATACACATAGAAGTGGTCAAGTGCTGTTGTTGGTTAGTAAGTTAGTGATAAACCAACAGTCCTGTACCAGTTTATGAGCCACACTGATTCTGTAAGGGTTGGCGAAACTATCCATTCACCCAGACTGAAACAAGTGGAGCAAGACTCGAACCTCGGACCTACTGGATAAGAACTGAGTACCTGAGGCTTTGAGTTACATCACCAGAAAACAGAGTCATTGTTATTATCTGAACAAAGGAAACCAATCCATGCGTTCTGCTGTATAGGTGGTTGAAACTTCCTTGAATTATGCACAGTCAAAATATCCCTCAAAAGACAGCAAAATCTACGGTATTATTTAATAATAATAATAATAACATACCGATGAAAAATTACCTCAACAATGCTGTCACGCAACTATACAGATCCGCTTCTTTCTCAAGAACAAAATGAGTACTGTACAACAAAATTGCCTAACCAAATCAATCCTAAGAAGTACTTGAGTATCAAGAAGAATATCGTTAACAAGGTGGGATCAAAACTCCGTCAGCAAGAATCATGCATGCATCAACAATTCCTGAAGACAGTCCAAAGTTGGAATGATCTTGGTTCCGTCAAACAAAGCTAGAGCTGTGAAAAAAAACAGATCAGTATCAATATACAACTACAAAGAGGAATGATAAAATCAGAGGCTAAACAGAAAAAAGAGACAAATAAGTAGGATCGAATCAGCAGTGATGTGATGTATGTAGCCAAGAAAAAGAAGGATACTAGGTACAAAGTTAACATATGTATGAAACTTGGGCACTGTGGTAGTAAGTAATTCCATATTAGTTTGTTTATTAGATGTATCACACAGTCAGTGAAACAGTATTATTTGCTGGGTGACAATGTTCCGAACACAATTTATTGCTGTTTATAATCATTTCAGTTATGATCACACGACTTTGAAATTTGAATTTAAGAGGTTTCTTTTCTCGCTCCTATTTGTCGTCGTAGGGGTAGTGGAATTTTCCAGATATCCGACTGGACAAGTGTTGAATCATTCCTATTACACATATTCTCTCTCAGTTGATTAGATAGACAAAGCTTCCGTTATCAGTCTCTCCCTCCACCCTGTTACATTAGATTTTAAAACTGTCATCCTATCCCATCCTATGAACTTAATAATTACCCTGATAAATTAGTCAGAAGGTATGTAGGGAAATGTAAAAATAAAATAAATAATGATAGTAGTAATAGTGATAATAATAATATTAATGACGACACGCATGTCAAATATGCGCAAGACAACACCAACAATAAGGAATCTAAATCATCAGTTATTATTCCACACAAAGAAGGAACCTCGGAAACCCTACGCAGATTTCTTAACAAGGCAGGAACAAAAGTGGCTGGCATTCAAACCCACAAAATCAATAAGAAACAAGCTTTGTCGGTTAGAGGATCCTGTGGAACCCTTTAAACAAAACAATTTAGTTTATCTAGTACCCTGCTGGAATGATTGTCAGGTCAAATACATAGGTCAAACTAGTAGAACAGGGGCATTCAGACTAGCCGAACATAAAAACCTAGCAAAATCTAGATTGGTTGACCCAAATAAGATAATAAATCTAGAGAATAGTTCAGCTATAGCACTACATGCAGTTACACACAACCATACAATAGGATGGGATAGGATGACAGTTCTAAAATCTAATGTTACAGGGTGGAGGGAGAAATTGATAACAGAAGCTTTGTCTATCTAATCAACTGAGAGAGAATATGTGTAATAGGAATGATTCAACACCTGTCCATCCGGACATCTAGAAAATTCTACTAATCCTACGACGACAAATAGGAGAGGATAAAGAAAACTACAAAACTCAAGTTTCGAAGTAGTGTGATCATAATTGATATGATTATGAACAATGATGAATTGTGTTCGAAACTGTGTCATCCAGTAAATAATACTGTTACATTCACTGTGTGATACATCTAATAAACAAACTAATATGGGTACGAAGTTGTTTGAAACAGTCGAATAAGCGTCAATATTGTAATTAGATCGTTCAGGTGGGATTTTTCAAACAATTGTTTCATTAGAAGATCCTCACTTTGTCTTATTCACTCACCATCTTGTTGTCTAGATATAGTTTTCTCCCACGAAAGTGGAATCTAGTCCAAATCATTTTAATCAATAAAACGCCTATAGCTGACTCCATTGATAAATGATATTGGTCAGAGAACCAGTGAAAATCCCAGGGTACTGAACAGTTGTTTCTTCCCAATTGGGCAATCATCATCAGTATACACCCATGACCCCATCTATTACGGAGTGTGCCGAAGAGCTGCAGATTAGCAGGCGCACTGGTTGACCATTTATCCACTAGGCTGGAATCCAACGCCCATTGAATCGTGAATCCTGTCAACTTCTGATATAACGTTACATCTATCGATAACCATCTACTTCCTTCTGATATGGTTAGCGCCATCAGCTATGACTTCTCATTAGAACCTCAAGACATTTATCAAATAGCCAATAGTGATTCGCTAACTGATATTGTTTTGTAACGACAATATATATATATATCTGCACTGAAATTTAGTTAAACCCATTACATAACTCTCGAAACATGAAATTACATCTGCTACGCTGGACTTTATATTTTGATAAATATCAGAACGTCAACTCGTGTTTGTTGTACCAAAAGTTTGCTTGATTAACTATCCTGATTTATCAATGTAAAGCTTGTATTATGCGAGTATGAAGCTTTTTTTTTTTAAAAAAAATAATGTTTTGTGATAGTGACTGTACATTTACAACTGACTTATTGGATGGACATAATTGAAGAGAAAAAGACTTTAGACATGTGTATATTTCATGATCAATTAAAAAAGAAACTAACTACAACAATATTCAGATTGTTTCTGTGAAATTAGTTATACAGAACAGAGTTTTTTTTGTTCCAGACAGACTATGAGCCATGCAGCTATTATATGTGAGAACTAATCAGACAACTTAGTGTTGCTACAGCCTGAATTAAGTGGAGTGGGATCTGAATCTGTGACCTGTTGGATGGAAATCAATGAACCACATCCTAAAGGGATATTTGAGTATCTTCAGTCCTATGAAGGAATCAGAAACATACACGATGGAGGTGGCAATATAGCACGAATAGATAATGTGTGAAAACCGAGTTGAAAAAATCAATCAGAAATCAGTTATTGAAGAATTACATGCAGTAAATTCATCATCCAATCCTTAATGCCATTTTGTTTGCATAATACTGGAAAGCTTCAATCCAAAAAGCGATTTTCATACTGTTATCATTCAAGCTTATATTTATTGGTGAAAAAGTCTATTGCGAGTTCGTAGACTGTAAGGTCACAGGGACCCGATTCAATGGCGCATGAATTCTAAATTCTGACTACGAGCTTGCCTTCCAACCAGAATGTCCTGGGTTCGAACCCTGACGATGGGTGCGTACTGACGAAGAGTCCTATACTAAGACGGACGAAACAGCTGTCCAGTGCTTTCAGGTTTTCCAATGGTTCTGTAACCGATATCAGCTGATGATGAAATCCTGTAACCAAAAGCTAAAATAATTCACCCATAAAATATTCATACTTTTGAAAAGGTTAAAGTATATTTTTGAAGGTTGAAGTCACATGTTCCACTCAGAACTCAAAGAAATAAAAAATTAATTAATAGATTATTTACACTTCATCCAACAATTGTACGATGATGCTGAATGCCAAGTAATCCACAACGGGAACTTACCGAATCCCTCGAAGTGAAGACGGGAGTAAGACAAGGCCGGTTGGCTGCCTACTATCTCCAATGATTTTCCTGATTGCGGTAGACTGGATATTGCGACAGACAACAAGCAACGAGGAAAGAGGCTTAAAATGAACTTTCATGAAATACTGGGAGGATCTGGACTTCGCCGATGTTATTTATCTGATTTCCCAAAAACTGGAAAATATACAAGTGAAAAGCAACAATTTGGCAGAAGAAGCATACAGAGAAGATAGGACTTCAGGTGAACCATTGAAGGGCAGGAAGCACTGGAGAGTTGTTTCATCTCGGTTTCGAACTCTTCAGAAATACTACTCCGCAGGGGTTCGAACCCACATACTAACTCATGAATATTGGTTACTGGTTACAAGAAAACGTTTACTGAAGTTCAAGGCAGAAGTTGTGACCAGAAGGGTCCATGAAGTCACGTAGAGGAACAGTTATTCGCGTATAACATTGGCTGGTAGTCACCCTTAAATCGAGAATTGGTAGAATTTAGAATTCATAGACTGCTGTAACCGGTTCCAGTGGCGGAATGGTCTACAAACCCTCCTTATAACTGAGGGGGGCAGGGTTCAAATTCTAGTATGTGAGTACTGATGAAAAGTTTCGGACTAGAATGAAACAGTCGTTCGGTACTCCCTGGCTTTCAATGGTTCACTTACTGACATCAATCCATGATCAAGCTTGAAACAACTGATCAGACTGTTAAAATCTGAAGGTAACTTAGAAAAACTTAAACAATGGATTGAACCGCGTGCTTCATCTCATTTGTTGTTTAGTTATTGGTAGCACAGTTTTTAAAGAATGCCTTATAAATGTTTTCAAGTGCGGTTTCGGTTTCGAAGGTATTTGACTGATTTCGTGGTAGACTTTTTGTCATGATTTGTCAGTGTCTTTTGGGAAATCATCGAAAACCTTGAGGCGCTGGGCATCTGTCTGACACTGGTTTGTGACTAACTTTCCAGTATAGTCCCTGGATGGCCAATGATAACTAGTGACTGGTGGGAGTTGCACGAAGCTGCGTATCAGGACAGACTTTTATAAGGCTTCAAAGCAATATTGTATTATTCATCCCTGTAATTCTGAATGGAACATTCGGTTCTCTGTCATCACTTTCAGTCAGCTTTATCACTGCTCGCAAGCATTTATTCCCTCTTCATATGAAATTCCTCCTGTCAACCTTGGAGACGGAGGGATTCCACTCAAGAGCAAGTCTGGCGTGTGATGTCACTCAACGGTGACCTTCGGTGTATGTTCAATTCTTGATTGGTTCGCTGCCAGAGTTCTTTATCGTTTATCCTTTCTGGTCGGGTATCTGATCTTCAATATCTAACGAAAGTGGTATCTGATGATATTAGATAGTTGGAAACAGTCGGCCACAGGAAGCCTTGCTTGACCTAGGTTTCGTGCTAGTTGCCACTCACCAGCCAGCAAGGCGTATCTGCAACCAGCTTGAAGGAACTCATGTCTTTTCTGGGATTCGAACCCATGGCGTCACCCAGTGCTGCATTCTGGGCTATTCGGACTCGCGAGTGACCTCCTGTAGGACTGGATTGCCTCCAACTATCCAATATCATCAAATCAATGTGCATAGTGATAGCGAGCTACCTAGTGGCATGGTGGCCACATTGCTAATACCTGACTGATAGAATTCAGTCTGCACTAAAGAAAGGACTAGACGAGACGAAAGGGGTGTCTGTTGATTAGAGCCTGCATTAGCCTGTTAGAAATGCTTTCAGTGAGGTAAACTTCAAGCATCTGAACCTAATAGAATCATTAATCAACTTGAGATTAGGCTTAAAAGTTATTCAACATTATTAACAGTCGTGTTTGTTGTTTATTACCATATAATTGACTATTGTTTATTACCCTTATTAGTTTGTGTTATTTTGTTATTTTATTTTATTTCAGGTGAAATTGAAGATAATCCATCACCGTGTAGTTTATCTTCACGTGGTGCTCAATGTACAGGTTCATATGTCTGTTATGATTTTAAATTAGATATGAGTTATGCAGCTGTTGCTGAACGTAAACAACTCGCCGAGGCGATACAAGCTGGTAATATCACTCCACCGTTAGCACAACCAGAAAGATGGGTTGGACCAAATTATGGGATAACTAATTTTGATAATTTTGGCCTATCTATGCTGACTGTATTTCAATGCATTACTATGGAAGGATGGACACAAGTTCTATATTGGGTTAGTTGGCGAATTGTCTGTCTGTCTGTCTGTTTTTATCTGTTTTCGACATAGAACTTTGCACATATGTGCGACAGTTCAAGTCGCCACACTCCCTCCTTGTAGCACACAAAGTAAGAGAAGAAAGTAGGAGAAATGCATATTGTAGACAGTAAACAGAGGTGTGAGACAAAGGAATAGTAATAATGAAGAACGATATAGTTTCATTGGAAATCATGAGTCACAAGGAGTGGATGCATCTGTGCCATTGAGAAGGATTTTCAACCACGTCACCAATTGTTTCCAACCATTGGCTTTTACCGTCCCGAGGATCACAACCAGTCAGAAAGTCTACATCTTCCTACGTGGCCTAGACTAACTGTTGTGGATTTCATTGACTGGTGCCATGTTTGCGTTTGACCGGTGCTGGCTCTTTTCCAACCTGACCCTATCCTAGTCAGCTAACATTCTCCGTTGAGGGAGACGATGACTAGTCATACGTAACACATGTCCTAACCCTCTCAGTCGATGTAGCTTCACAGCCTAGTCCCTTGATTTCCCTTCCCTCTTTACCTAGCACTCGACGCCTAACCTCAATATTGCTGACCTTATTATACCACTTCACACGGGAGATAGAACGCAGACACCTATGATCAAAGACAGCCGGTAGGTTGTTACTTCCCGGCTGCCCACACCGTGGAAGTTGATTGATTCTTCGGGTATTGCGTGACCGCAGAGCCCAGGGGACAACTGCTTGAGGCCGGTCACACGCGGCCTGTTTTTGTTTGTTCTTTCTTGTTTGGTGTGTCTCAGAAGCGTATTTATGACTTCTGCCCTGTGACACAGCAGCACTAAGCGTGGTCGTTGTTAATCCGGGCCCCGACCAATCCGGCATGATATTTTGTGATTTTGTTTGACTTATGGCATTGGATTGGGTAGCTGCTTTTTGTCTAACCGCTATCCAAAGAACTTTCCTGGAATGGTAGGACCTACAGGAACATAACTTCCAGCCAGTGGTGTAGCTCGTTGGGTCATTGCGACATGCAAGCCTGACCACCACGTCAAGGTAGCAGCTATCGGTTGGGAGCTGGCGAATTCAATAATAGTAGTGATAACAATAGTCCAAATGATGTGTATACATACTGTAAAATATCTGTCTCACCTGGACTCATGATTACATTATTTTTTCTTACGAATTTCAGCCGAACTGAAATGCTTGATCTTGAGCTGACAGAAGTTAGATAACCGTTGGTAAACCAACTTGAGGTTACTGGACAGCTGTCTCATCCTAGTTTCGTGATTCTTCAGCGGTACTTAACCACTGGGGTTGGAACTCCTAACCTTCCGATTACAAGGAGAGCTCCTAGACTTCATCCAAAAACCCAAGCATCACAATTTCTGCCTATTTGCGGTATGTAGTTCAACCACCAGTTAATGTCACTGGTGGGCATTTGCCTTTAAACCTGACATTTTAGAACCCCCGCTGGTCACAACTTCTCACTTGAACTCCTAGTAACCTCCTGTATGAAACTAGTCGTTAGCGAGCGTCAGATTAATTATCAAGGATTAGTTTTTAGGGATTTAACTGGTTACAGGTCTGATCAAGAGCTGATGTTAGTAAAAGAACTATTGGAAAAAAAGGGAGTGTTGGACAGCTGTTTCGTTCTAGTTCTCCGCCTAATGTCAGAACATCACCGGACCTGTAACCAATCAAATCATGGCAAACCAATACTTGACTACTAACTGATGGGTCAACGTAGCATGTTTCATAAAACTACAACAGTTTAAGCTGTCACATTGGAATCAAAGACATACAACAAGATTTGACCAAGTATAGAACAATGTCCTAATCAGCAAAACTGCGCACATTAAACAGATCAATTTGACAAGAATTAAGACTGATTTTCATTTGAAAAGTTTTCGATGATTTTCATCCAGTTGCTAATTTTTGTCTACGAAAGGATCCTAGACAAGCTGCATAGTTTTGTCAGCGTGACTAAGGTCAAATGCAAATACTGTCGTTCACTAGACCATAGGGTGACGAGAGCTGTCTTCTGTCCAACGGGTATCAAAATATGGTGCCACACCCATTGACTGGGTGTTGGTTTTCAGGAGGACCGAATACACCAGTCTCTGCCTCTTGCAAGACGAGACCGGCATGCAGTATCATCCTGTGGCGCAGCCATTAGATAATAAATAACTTTTAAAAAATTACACCTTGAAGCCTTACCAACTAGTGGTAAGTCGTGACCATTAGGGTACAGCAGGTCGAGTGCGATGACAAGTACTCACTGAAGGCATTGGCAAACGTTACAATTCATGGTCCATTGGATCTCGTCTCAGTAGCTTAATGGTCTACGAGCTCACCTTGTAGTCAGAAGGTCCCAGGTTCGAACCCTAGCGATGAGTGCGTACTGATGAAGAGCCCCAAACTGGTACGAGACAGCTGTTCATTTGACCCAGTTTTTCCAATGGTCCTCTGACCGATGTCAACCCATGATGAAACCCTGTAAGCAATCAATCAAATCCCTGCAAACCAATAGTTAAATCTCTACATATACCAAAAAGCTTACGTCTCCAGTGGGGAACAAATGCTTTAAAAACAGTGCCATTGCCAGGCATCTCCCCGACACGGGTCATGAGGTCGGCGTCGAAAAGTTGTCCAAAATTATAAATAGGCGAAAGAGCTCAATTCTCCTCAAGTTTGCTGAAGCCATCTCCATCAAGCGCCTGAAACCTGATTTATGCGTCCAGAAAGGAGCGGTTATCAGTCTTTCTTCGCCCTGGTAACTGGATATTTTCATCTCTCTTTCATCCGAATGCGAAATGCTGAAAAGTTTCCATTGTGTGTGATTATTATTGTTCGGAATAGTGTTTAATATTATATATATTTGTATATATTATTAGTGTATGCGCGTACTGATCGATTGAGTTTTGTTTAAAATGAACTCTGTGCAAGTATATTAAGATTGTTTTTGTAGATATATTTAATAATGTCTTTACCCTGTAAGCAGCTGAAGTGAAGGCGACGAAATAAAAGATGGTACCATTTTATTCTACTAAAACTGTAGTTCTTGCTTTGTTCAAAATCTACTGTTATAGTTGAATCATACTTATACAAGTAGTAATTTGATAGTAATTTATAAAATGTTTATATATGTTTTTATTTTGTTACAATTTAGGTAAATGATTCACAAGGCATGTTATATCCATGGATTTATTTTATCAGTATGATAATTATTGGATCATTCTTTGTTATGAATCTTGTACTCGGTGTACTGAGTGGGTAAGTAGATCCCGTAAATATATGTTTGCGTGCGTGTGTGTTCGTGTGTACATATATAACAATACCAATCGATTATCTCACCTACTCAGTACCTGGTGATGATGATGATGACTGATGGTGAAGTAAAAATCTGAGTTGTGATAGACTCCGTAGCAGCCGCCAGTGAATTACTAGTCCTGCTGGCGAACTGTTCACCACCTCGTGATTATTTCACTACAAGCACCATTGGTGGCGCTATCCAGAATTCCATTTCACCATATTTTATCATCAGTCACTACATGATGAGTAACAGATTATCAATCCAAGGACTAACATACACTCTGAGTTTTATTAATATTTGATTGTTTTCTCTAAGAAGTTCTGGAGTGCTTTAATTGGACACTAGGCAGTAACCAGTTTCATACATGTAATCATTTGTTTGGTGTCAAATTGATTTCTGTCAGTGGTAACCTTTCTGAATGAAGCACTGGCTGAGACAAGTTCGAATCTCAGAAGGGACATGAGTTCCTTAAAGTTGGCAGATAGGCCTTACTGACGAGTGAGAGACAAGCATGAAACCAGGGTTGAAGACTTCCTGTTGATTCCCTCAAATCAACTTATAAATTGTGACAGGCAACTACTTCGCTACTACGGGGTGCCACCGACAATTATACATCTCATCCAACAGCTGTATGACAATTGTGAATGTCAAGTAATCCATAATGGGAAACTTACGGAATCCTTCAAAGTGGGAACAGGAGTAAGACAAGGCTGGCTGCCTACTATCGCCAATGATTTTCCTGATTGCAGTAGACTGGATAATGCGACAAACAGTGGGCAATGAGGAAACAGGCATAAAATGGACTCACACAAGAAACTTGGAGGATCTGGACTTCGCCGATGATATATATATGTCTGATTTCCCACAAACTGGAAGATATGCAAGCGAAAAGCAAAAAGTTAGCAGAAGAAGCATCCAGAGAAGATAGGACTTCAGGTGAACATAGAGAAAACGGAGGTGATGAAGATTCCTGGCCAACACCACCAACAGCAACAACAACAACAGACAACAATCAGCCAGCATAAATGGGAGGAACCTGAATGAAACAACCTCTTTTACCTACCTGGGAAGCATCGTTTCAAATACACGCCGAACTGATGAGGATATCAAAGTAAGAATGGAAAAAGCAAGACCAGCTTTCACTACTCTCAAGTCTGTGTGGAGGTCATCAGTACTCAGCACGAAAAATAACATCCGGATTTTCAACTTCAATGTGAAGTCAGTGCTACTATACGGATCAGAGACTTGCACTGCGCGTCATAAAGAGCACCTCAAACAAACTACAGACCTTCATTATCAGCTGTCTTCGCTCAGTACTTAAGATCATATGGCTGGCCAGAAAAGATCAGCAACAGAGATCTCTGGCAATGAGCGAACCAACCAGGAACTGATTGTGCAACAAATGTGCAGGAAGAAATGGAGATAGATTGGCCATACTCTGAGGAAACAATGCATCAAGTGACATCACTAGACAAGCCATTGCTCGAGTGGGACCTGAAAGGGAAGCGGTGAGTTGGTCGTCAGTGTGAGGGTGGGTGACTTGGAGGAGGTCATGTGGAGAGGAGATGAAAGCGTGTGGGCAGACTTGGAGCCAGGTGTAAACTCTAGCAGAGAACCGAACGCAATAGCGACGCATGGCTGAAGCCCTATGTTCCTCTAGGAATTAAAGGAAACAATAATAATAATACTTAGTCACACACGTTAATGACACATTACAATAAATCAGTGGACTAAACCTTCTGTGACAACTTTCATGGAGTGATATCAAAATTCACGAACATTAACACAGTTTGCCAATTTGTTTCTATTTTGTCGATTTTATGATAAGCACGGTTAACAATTCTCATTAAATTTTAAGCATATCATTCCGCTAAAACAGCACATAGTGCAAATTACTTCTTGTTTTGGTTGATTGTATCTTCGTTTGACAGTGGCAGAATAATTTATTTTATTTTTTATTTATTTTTTGATTAATTTTTATTTTAAGAAACTTTCATATTTCTGCTTGATTAGAAAGTTCTCAAAATTTTGTCATAAAAATTCTTGTATTTTTTTTATCTAAAGAACATCATCAGTGTAATCTTCCGACGACTTTCAGAGGTTACTCAGTAGAGGAACTAGTAGTGCTCCGTAAATAGGAAGGCATTCGTCATCTGTATGTTATACAGTGTGCTGTGTGAAAATTTCCTAAAGTCACATTTGAGAGCAAAAATATATTTAAGTATTGGTTTGTAGGGATTTGGTTGATTTGTTACAGGATTTCATCATTAGTTGACATTGGTTAGAAAACCATTGGAAATCCATCTGGGAGTACTGGACAGCTGTTTCCTCCATCCTAGTTTGGGACTCTTCATCAGTACGTACCCACCGCCAGGGGTGGAACCTGGGACCTTCTGGTTACAAGATGAGCTCATAGACCATTGAGCCACTGGGACCCGATCCAATGGCCCATGAATTCTAACTTCTGCCAATTCACGATATATCGCAACCGCTAGTCAATGTCTTCGGCGAGTATTTGTCCTCACACCCTACCAGCTGCACCCTACTGGTCACGACTTCCCACTGGAACCCCAGGTAACTACCTACCTGAATAGGGCCGGTTGCAAGTGAGCATCTCATTGATATTCAAGTATTGGTTTGTAAGGATTTTGTTGATTGGTTACAGTGGCTTAATGGTATTCGAGCTCGCCTTGTAACCAGAGTGTCCTGGGTTCGAACCCCGGCGGGTGCGTACTGATGAAGAGTCCCAAACTAGGACGGAGGAAATAGCTGTCCAGTACTCATACGTTTTCCAGTGGTTCTTTAACCGATGTCAGCTCATGATGAAATCCTGTAACCTTGAAATATATTTAGACAGCAATATGTGTTATGTTTAAAAATACTAATAGCAATCATGAAAACAAGCAGCATGAGTAGATGGTAATATATAACTCATTGATATCAGTAGCTGGAAACCACTGTCTCATGTAAAATTATGTAATCTGTAAAAGGCTGTCTGGTGTTTGCATCATTGCTATCTGGGTAGTGTGTACTCCTGCTTAGAATGTATAAGGTGTCCAGCATAACTGAAGTGGATTGAATTTCCAGTGGCTGATTTTGCCCATCTAGGTACAGACACTGGTCTTCTGATCATCTTGAGCAGAAATCGTCAACTGTCTGACAAGTGATTTGCTCCTGTCAGATGTAAAATGGTGCTGTAGGAAGGAACTGTAATGACCTCTAGGTTAAAGATAGGGCGTGAAATGGAAGAGTGTGTTAATCACTTTACTTGTTCTGGAAGTTAGATTAACCCCAATAGACTGATTACTGACGAAATCTCAGTTTGGATACAAAAGTCTGACTAACGAGATATCCGGCTATCGATCAAAGGATGTATGTATATACTGCGCAGCAGTTCCCTCCCTGTTTCCTCCTTTGTGTCTGCAAGACACGATCATTGGAGTTGAAAGGTATGAAAAGACTAGTTGTCTTTTACCACAGATGTTTGCGGTTTATCTTACTTATTAAGTGATGTAATATGGTGAGGATTATTGAGATTAGGCGTAGAGTGCTAAGTGAGGAGGAAAGATCAATCAATGAGGTTATGAAGCCACATTGACTGAAATTGCTAGAATCAGGTGTTACGTATGGCAAGTCGTCGCCTACGCTGACAGACAGTGCTAGCTAACACAGGATTAGGTTGAAAAAGAATTAGGGTTTGTCAGGCCAAAACCTGTCATCAGTCCAAAAGGTCCTTAGCTGTTGGTGTGAGCTGCGTAGGGGTGTGTGTGTATACGAAGCCTGGTTGGGGTCTTCATGATAAGAACCAATGGATGTAGACTATCGGTTTATTCACTCATTATGATCTCCTATCACGTTTTTTCATGCAATTATTCCTTTTCATTCACATTTCTGCTTATTATAGTTTTTTAAAAAATCTCTTTTTTGTCTCAAATTTATCTACCTTCGTGTGCTACATAGAGTATGGCAAGTCAAACTCTTGCACTTCCATGTTGCCAGGATTTTCACCGAATAACTTCGTGGCAGTTCATCTTGCCACACTTCCCAATGTGTGCAATAGACTAGAAAAAGAGACAAAGAGACGCAAAGAAACTAGAATAAACAGACGTCTGTCTGTTTGTCTGTTTTCGACATAGAACTTTGCACATATTTGCGGCAGTTCAAGTCGCCACACTCCACTCCTTGTAGCACACAAAGCAAGAGAAGAAAGTAGGAGAAATCCATAATATAGACAGTAGACAGAGGTGTGAGACAAAGGAATAGTAATAACGAAAAGCAAAACAGTTTCATTGGAAATCATAAGTCACAAGGAGTGGATGCATCTGCACCAGCCATTGATAACGATTTTGAGCCATGTCACCAATTGTTTCCAACCATTGGTTTTTACCGTCTCGAGGACCCCGACCAGGAAGTCTACACCTTCCTACGTGGCTTAGACTAACTGTTGTGGATTTCATTGACTGGTGCCATGTTTTGGTTTGACAGCCACTAGCTCTTTTCCAGCCTGACCCTATATCAGCTAACATTGCCTGTTGTCGAGGAAGGCGATGGCTAGGCAGGCATACGTAACATATGTCCTGACCACCTCAGTCGATGTATCTTCACAGCCTTGTCGATTGATTTCCCCTCCTTACCTAGCACTCGACGTGTGAAGGAAAAATAGGATAACTTGGTTGAGAGTAATGAGGCGTTAGTAGATCTATGAGACTGATAAAACAGTAAATGTATCCAGGTTATTGAGAATTATTTCGAGTTCATTTCTCTCTACCTTCATGAAGTATGATGACTTGTGGCGTGGCTTTTTCTGTGCAGTTTTCTGCATTAGAAACTGGGTCAGTTAGTCAGTCAGTCGATCTCTAGCCACTGATTTTTAGCATCACGTCGACCTTATTTATAAGTGTATTCAACATGTTCTCATACTGAAGTTGTCAAGAGGCTTATTTTCCGATGAATTACTTCA